AAAAAAAAAAAAAAAAAAAAAAAAATCTTTACAAGGTTATACATGACAGGAAGTAAATGGTTACAAATGTTAAATTACATGGAGTAAATTGTTGCCCTCTAGATATTAGGGACTAAATTGTAGCTTATTATGAGTATGTTCAACTATTAACAAATATATGCACATCATAACTGAGTCTACCAATTTATGTAAATGATTTTAGAAATCAAACTTACTATGCAAAATAGCTGAGCCAATCAACTTTGTTTAATCCTTCTTTGTTTTGATTTACACCCAACTGCTAAAAGAGCACTTGATGGCAAAATTTGGAATCTGTGTTGCACTGACAACAAACCTAGAGACAAGGTCTATTTAAACTGGAGGAAATAATTTGTAGATGGAAAGATATATATTGATAAGAAACTTTGTGTGATAATAGTCTCGAAGAAGAGGGGCATCCTAGGGGCAGGGGATGGGGGAAGCCCCCTCACAAAACTCAGTTATCACAAAAGTTAAGTAAGATTTTCTGCCCTGCCTAAGTTTGTCCCTTTCTTGTCTTTTTTGTGCTCAGGAGTTACGATACTGTTGTTACTGGTTCTCTTGCACCTCTATAGTTCCTCATGGCAGGTTCTTTAATTGCTCGTTGCTTAGGATACACTTGCTTTTCTGGTTCCATTAAAACTAGTGATATTTTTAATTATGGCGAAAGTGAGTCTGTAGGAAAAGATTAACATTGTTGACGATTTTTTCCTTCCAAATTCTTTGACCGGTCCTTCAATAGGAACCAAACTCTTTTTGTTGACCTAAAGTAAATATTTATTTAATGAGATACCTATATTAGGATTAAATGGTTTGACTGAATGTTCCTATAAACGAAGGGCGTGACTTACTATTTGGCAAGTTACATGTAATGTACTATCCTTTCCTAATAGAAGTTTGTGATGGTGTTATTATCTTGTTTCATATTGCTCGAATGTTTCCTCCTAGAGGATGCTTATTTCCCGACTTCCTTGTTCATAGCTCCATTGGTATTGATGAATTGAAAGATTTCCAGGAATCAAAAGAGGATGTTTCTGTGGAGATCTTGTTTCTCTTTCTTTTCTTTTCTTCTTTTTTCCCTGCAATCAGTCTTCTTTTAATATTTTCCCCTAATGACTTCCTCAATTGAGTCATTGACTCAAAAAATTTATTATGATCCTAAATTGTGGCCATCTTGATCTTTATATGGTTTTATTAATAGATTAGATGGACGAGGCACTAATCATTGAGTATTCCTTTTTTGATGCTTTGATGGCATTTTGAATTGTATAAATTATTTTAAGATTTAGCGGCCTCTGTCTCATTGGCCGGCTTTAGGCAAAAAAATGTTTGTTTCTCCATTTTCTCTGTCTCTAACAACTCTGTTGGTAAAATATGCCCCGTTTACAAGATCTGAATTCTTGATAGGTATAGTGAGATGGTGAAGGCTGTTACAATCTGAGTTGTTACCACCTGATTCAAACTAAGATGATATTCTGCAGGACTTTGGGAAATTTTTGGTCATCTTAAGCTTATGAACGTTATATCTTACAAACTTACAACCATTGTAGACCATTCTATCGTTCTCATGCAATCTTAAAATCCTGCTGTCTATCATTTCTCAATAACTTCGTCGTTATTTGTTGCAGACATATTCATGTGATGATATGTGGAGGCCTTCATTGGATATTATCTTGTGTTGTTTCGACCTGAGTTCACTTGCCAGGGGCTACAGCTTGGTTCATCTCCCTGGGTGCCATCTCTCTTTGAATTTGTGTTGATGCTGTTGTAGGATTCGACAATGTAGTGTTATTAGCAAACTGTGTCCTGATTTTGCAATTTAACCGTCAGATATACTTCGAGTGCAGGATTTTAATGTGAATTATCAATTCCCGATCGACATGTTTCTAGGTAGATTCGCTTGTCCCCTTTACTTTTTAATGTGTTCGGCATTATATAGTGATTACTTAAGGACCTAAAGTCTGAATAGTACGAACTAAAGGTTCTGTATTTTGGAACCTCTCTTCTGTTAAAAGGAGATAATCTATATATTTTTGTGCGTGCATGAGTTAGTTTTTTTTTTTTTTTTTTTTTTTTTCCCGAAACAAATATAATTGAAAATTGAAGGATTATAAAATGGTAGGAAGCAACTTTCCAATTAGCATGAATGTCTAAGTACTGCCATATTCTCAAAGGCTCTTTGACTCTTGATGAGTCCCAACTATCTAACAGTGGTAGTTTGCTCAATCCTCAGTTTTCTTCATTTATCAGGGAGACAATTTCCATAAATAAGAACCACACAATGCTTCACCTTTTGGGGGGCATATCCCAACTAAGATCTAAGTTTTAAAGAGGCCAAGTTCTCACAGATCTAGATGGTCCACTGTTTTGTCACTGTCTTTTGCTCTATGCCACCATGATGGAGAGCTATAAACAAGGCAGGATTCTTCTAGTGGACTGTATGATCTCTTTTGTATGTGTTGGATTTTACTCTACACTCTCTTAATTGCGGTCTGCTTAAAGGAAATACAAACCTTGCAGGCTGTATCAGTTAAAAGAAGAACTATGCTGCAAGGCCTCACCACCCACCCCAAGTCATGTAAAATGACAAATTCTCAAGTGTCGATATAATTGTAGAACGGAACTCTCTGTCCAACCTGCATCACAAAGGGAGTCTGTGAAATGTTACTTCTACGGCAAGGTGATTGCAGAAATCAAAGACCAAACGGAGAGGAATAAATGATATTATTTTCTGAAGATTTTAAATGAACTTGAATAGCTTTCTTTACTGAAAAATATGTAAGGAGTCATAAATATTACCCAGCTTCAACATATGGAGGAGGGGAAACCAAAGTGTTCGAATGAAAAATGCTTTTGATGGCATTCATTTCTCAGATGGCGTGATTGTTTGTATGTCTCTCTTTGTTGTGACATTATAATTTGTATGTTCCTTGTAGATTTTTGGCTGAAACTTTATCATAATTGAAGGAAAAACGATTGATCCAAAGTATCCTTTGGTTAGTTGGCATTGTATGTATTTACAGATGTGGCAAAGTACATGTATTTGTCGAATGATTGGTGTATAATGTTATTTCAGAATTATATTTACCATTTTTAGAAACAAATCTCTTTGACCATGTTAGGATTGGAGACATAAATGTCAATGCTCAGCAGATCACAAAAACCTTCTTCATAAGCTTTTGAAATAGATGAGAATTCTCACTCTGTTTTGCCAAGTTGTGAGAGACAGTATCTTTTATCCTTTGTCAAGGGAATGCCATTTTCATATGAGTTGTTTGCTATTTCTCGGTAAATTATTCAAGGAGATTGAAACAATATAGCTCACGATCAATGGTTTTACAAAGCTAGAAGTAGGAGAGTTAGAAACCAGCTCAACTAGTCAATACAAAAATAACTTGGTGAATAAAACACAAATTGTTGTCTTAAAAATTGGTGGTTCGATTCTCCACTTATGTAGTTGTTAAACTCAAAAGAAAAAATAAACGAACTAACTTTTTTTTATCATGATATGAATGAGTACTCATCTTTAGCGGGAGGCAACACAAGTTGTTTGCTACCCATGGGGTAAGGTTATAAATGAATATCTGAGAGGAAGCGATGTAAATGATTGTGGAATCAGGCTCCTTTAGACACTGTCAAGACTACCTAAAATAATTATCCCTCAAAATTGCTATGTTTTTTTTATGTGCTTTAGAGATGGTCAGCTACGCATATGATGTGCTCTGGTGGGGCCTACCACTTTGACAAACAAAAGTGTCCTTTCATGCCCTATGCATCAATGACACTTATACAAGCTCATAACAAATGGATTATGGAATCCCATGCCTAATTGAGACTGTAAATTTATCTTCATCATAGGTCAATTCTACACCTGCCACAAATTCTTAAAACCACATCACATTTATCGGGACAATGTATTTTGATCTACAACATAAAAAGGTAGGACGAGCAAACTAGATTGTGATCCCACATCGGTTTGAGAAAAGAACAAAACATTTCTCATAAGAGTGTGTGAGAATCTCTCCCTAATAAACGCATTTTAAAATCTTGAAGGTAAGTTCAGAAGGTAAAGTCCAAAGAGGACAATATATGCTACCTGTGGTCTTGGACTGTTATAAATGGTATCAAAGCCAAATATTGAGCGGTGTGTCAAGGAGAATGTTGAGCCCCCGAAGAGGGGTGGATTGTGAGATCTCGCATCAATTGGAGAGGGAAATAAATCATTTTTTATAAAGGTATGGAAACCTCTCCGACGCATATTCGAATTGGATATCGAACTCATTTTCAACTAATAATACATTCAGTGTTATTCAAATACTTCCTCAAATTGCATTGATATATTTTGTGCGTAAAAGTCAAAAGATAGTGATTAAAGGAAAGATAATACTCAAATTTTGGATGGCCCAACCAAGACCAACCATCATTCTAATTTCACAATAATTAAGTAAAAAGGGTCAACTTGGAATGCAAATGAAATAGAATTATACATAAAAGGAGAATGTCCACTAATTTCTCACTTTTGGCACGTGCGAGCGCCCCAACACACCACCCACCACCGTCCCACAATACACCCACAAAACTAAGCTCTCTCACGGGTGACCTTAAAAAATTCGAACGTTGGGAGCACAAATGGACAAACAAAAATAAAGACCCCACTTTTCCATCGCACATTGTCTCAACGTCTTTGTTCCCCCGCTGTACTTCCATGGAATTTCTTAGTACATTATTTACATAAAAATTGAATCTTTATTATCAAATCTTGATGTTCAATTAGTGTTTGAATGTGGGTCATTGCTATTCTATGAGATTTCAAGACGACTGGATCATAGAATCATATTTCTCGACTTACAGGCCATTGCCAAAAAGCCTTCAATCGGATCATAGAATCAAAGAGAAAACCTTACTCTGCCTAGCTCTCTGCCTCTGTCCTGAATTTCTCTGTATTTTTTCCTTTCTCTTTCGTTTTTGGCTCTTTTAGTTAATAAAACGTTCAAATTCACATTACCCAAGAAAGCTTTTGCAGATTGTCTATTCCCATCAACACAACTCCCATTAATACAATCTCTTCTTCTTCTCTCACTTCCTTTACCTCTCTCTCTCTCTCTCTCTCTCTACCTACACTAGATGAACAAAAAGTGAACCGAAGTGGGTTCTTTTTCACCGAAAAGAAGAAGGGTCTGCTTTCTTGGCCATTATTATCACCTCCCCATTTGAGAGGGGAAGTTTTCATGGCTGTTTTTTCATTGTCTTCTTGGAACTTCTAGCCTCTAGATTTAGAGATTTTGTGTTGGTGAATCTCTTGTTCTAGTTTGAGCACATTCAAAGAGACAACGAGCAAGCTTCTGCTTCAAGATATGAGGGGTAGGAGCTTCTGATTACAACACTAAAACAGTGTTCTTTTGGGTTTGGATACTGTTCCCTAATGGATATCATTCACCGTGCACGTCTACTATGCGCTGTTGTATGTTTTGGGATGTTTATATGCGCATCTTGTCTGGACGAATTCGGGGATTCAACAGCCGTGTACATTGTAACCCTCAAGGAACCTCCTCCTACTACTCATTACTATGGTCAGCTTAGGCAGAATACCACTTCTTTTAGGCTCGGTGCTTCTGGTGGATTAAGCATCCACAAACCAAGGTACTTCTCCATCACTCTCTTATACTTGCATTCAGCAGCTCTAAGCTACTCATTTTAGTGCTTTACTTGATTTAATATGATGAAAACTTGTTGTATAAGACGTTTTCAATCACTGTAATCTTCTTAAACGCCAACGTGGGCGTATTTGCTTAAGCATGAAGTAGTTGATATTGGTTGTCTTTTCTGGGTTGTCGATATTGTTCTTTCTTTCTTCCCATCATTCGGTATATTGTGTTGGGGGATGCAGAATTTGTGTTATATTTATCTTTGTTTCTCAGTGGATTTCCATGAAAACTATCCCTTAACCTTGTTGAAACTGCAATTGCTAATTTTTGTTGAATCTATTATCGATGTTATGCCTTTACCCTTTTTGCTAATTTTTATATTGCTTTAGAAACATATCAAGAAAGCATCGAAGATATAGATCTTATATAGCTCGAGTTCATGATTCATTGTTGAAGAAGGTCTTGAAGGGGGAGAAATACTTAAAGCTGTACAGTTACCATTTCTTGATCAATGGATTCGCTGTGCTTGTTACTGAAGAACAGGTACAAGTTTGTAATATATGATGTTCTTTAATTGTTATAAATTTTGCTCAGGAGAAATTATGTTTGAATTTATAGGCTAATAAACTTTCAAAGAGAAAGGAGGTGGCAAATGTTGTCATGGATTTCTCTGTTAGAACTGCTACGACCCATACTCCGCAGTTCTTGGGGCTTCCTCAGGGAGCTTGGTCTCAAGATGGTGGCTTTGAAAGTGCTGGAGCTGGGATTGTGATAGGGTTCGTTGACACTGGCATTGACCCTTCTCACCCCAGCTTTGCTGATGATTTGAGTGATAAACCATTTCCAGTTCCACCCCACTTCTCTGGAATCTGTGAGGTAACTCCAGATTTTCCATCTGGGTCATGCAATCGGAAGCTTGTGGGAGCACGCCATTTTGCAGCATCAGCTATAACAAGGGGAATATTTAATGCATCTCAGGATTATGCTTCACCATTTGATGGTGATGGGCATGGCACGTAAGGATTTCTATGTCTGTTTGGAAATTTCTTTTGGCTTGTATTCCTTGTTAGTCATTGACATCAATATTTGCAGGCACACAGCTTCCATTGCTGCTGGAAACCATGGCATTCCAGTGCTAGTTGCTGGACATCACTTTGGAAATGCCAGTGGGATGGCTCCTCGTTCGCAGTAATTATCTGAACTTAGGCTACATTCACTTCTCGAGTTATTATTTTGTCGGTTAAAATATCATTTTGGTTCCTATAATTCATTTGCTTCAATGCTTACTTATGCTTCTTTTTCCAGCATTGCTGTTTATAAGGCACTGTACAAAAGCTTTGGAGGTTTTGCTGCGGATGTTGTTGCTGCAGTCGATCAGGTGTGCCAGAATTAAACAAGTTTAAAATCTCATTTTGAGGAGACCAAGTCTTTAGTATTTTTCTTTCTTCTCAAGAATTCCTCATCTTCTTTCAATTCTTTTGTTATCTTTATGATGTTCTTTGTAGGCTGCTCAGGATGGGGTGGATATAATAAGTTTATCAATCACACCGAACAGGCGTCCCCCGGGTATTGCAACGTTTTTTAATCCCATAGATATGGCATTGCTCTCTGCTGTAAAGGCTGGTATATTCGTTGTGCAAGCAGCTGGTAACACTGGTCCAGCACCTAAGAGCATGTCTTCCTTCAGTCCATGGATCTTCACTGTTGGGGCTGCTTCTCACGACAGAAGCTATGCTAACTCGATAAGCCTTGGCAATAACGTCACCATCCCGGGAGTCGGACTTGCTCGTAAGTTTCTGTTTGTCTTCTCGGTTTATACTACTCTTCCACTTAAAAGGAAGATAAAATCTAATCCGTATTCTCCTATTCAGCTGGAACTTATAATGGCACAAAGAACAAACTAATTGCTGCAATACACGCTTTGAACAATGGGACAAACGTGTCGGCGGACATGTACGTGGGCGAATGCCAAGACTCCAGTAACTATGATCAGGATCTGATCCAAGGGAACCTTCTAATATGCAGCTACTCAATCAGATTTGTGCTGGGGCTTTCCACAGTTAAACAAGCTTTACAGACAGCAAAAAACTTGAGTGCTGCTGGTGTCATTTTCTATATGGATTCTTTTGTGATAGGTTTTAGGCTCAACCCAATACCAATGAAAATGCCTGGCATCATAATTTCATCACCAGAAGATTCCAAGGTGGGTGCTCTACTTTGTTTGCTGTTTTGTTTTACAAATGGTTGTCAAAGCCTTTCTGCATCAAAGTGGGGTTTTAAAATGGGTTATGTTCTATGGTTTCTTTGGCAGATGCTTCTTCAATATTACAATTCTTCCCTGGAAGTAGATGGATTAACAAAGAGAATTTCAAAATTTGGAGCTGTTGCTAGCATATGTGGGGGATTGAAGGCAAATTATAGCTCTTCTGCCCCACAAATCATGTACTATTCTGCTAGAGGACCAGACCCAGAAGACAGTTCTCTTGATGATTCTGATATTATGAAGCCCAACTTGGTAGCTCCTGGAAATTCCATATGGGCTGCTTGGAGCTCTGTTGCCACTGACTCTATTGAATTTCTCGGTGATCATCATCTTCCACAGTTTTGATTTACATGTAAGATGAATTCTCAGACATGAATCTTAACTTTTACGAACTCTCCAGGTGAAAGCTTTGCAATGATGTCGGGAACAAGCATGGCTGCTCCTCATATTGCTGGTCTAGCCTCACTGGTAAAGCAGAAGTACTCCAGTCTTAGTCCTTCAGCCATTGCATCTGCACTATCCACAACTGCTTCTCTTTACGACAAGACTGGTGGACCAATCATGGCTCAGCGTGCTTATGCTAATCCCGAACAGAACCAGTCTCCAGCTACGCCTTTTGATATGGGAAGTGGTTTTGTGAATGCAACAGCAGCTCTCGACCCAGGGTTGATCTTTGATTCCAGTAAGTGCTTCATCTTGACATATTAGCAGAGAATGAGTTGGGAAATATTGGGAACTGAGAATTTTGTGTACTTTTGGTTGATCATTTTGGTAGTAAAGTGCATGGTGTATGACATTTGAGTGTTCGCTTCTTGTTTGTTGTAGGTTACGATGATTATATGTCGTTTCTTTGTGGAATCAATGGATCATCCCCTGTGGTATTCAACTACACAGGCCAGAACTGCGGGCTTTACAATTCCAGTATCAGTGGAGCTGATTTGAACTTGCCCTCTGTGACCATAGCAAAACTTAACCAGTCAAGAGTAGTGCAACGAACCGTGACCAACATAGCTGGACCTGAGATTTATAATGTTGGTTGGAGTGCTCCTTATGGGATTTCTTTGAAGGTTTCTCCAACTCGATTTACAATCGACAGCGGCAAGAAACAAGAGCTAACCATATTCTTGAATGCGACAATGAACAGCTCGGTTGCTAGCTTTGGTAGAATTGGACTTTTTGGGAGTGCAGGCCATATAATCAACATTCCTGTTTCAGTAATTTTGAAGATCTCATATAACAACACTACTAATTGAGTGAGAGGTTTGGAGGGAGAGGTAACTATCCCCCCTTCATGAAAGAAAAAGATGATGTATTCTTCTCTCTGGTTGTTACCATCCCCTGCTCTCTGCCCTTTTCTTCCTTCTTGAATAATTTGGAGGTGTGTTAACCAATTTTTTCATTCTTTTTTTTTATTTTATTTTATGTAACTGTTTTCTGATGTAAAAAAAGAAAATGTAGCTGGTGGGTGTCTGTAATGAAGATTCAGTTTCAAAAGTAAGTTAATAGCCGAGTTGACCTCTCCATCCCTCTCTAATCCATTACCAACCTGGGATACTTGACGTGCCCAAAAGGATGATAAGGATGATAGATTAAAGATAGCTTAGGATATGAACAAAACCAACGGAAATTGAAAATGCATACCGCCAATGACAATGCCAATGATGGGAACAGAAATTACAAGACAACGTTTATAATACTCGTATTTACCAAAAGGGATACGATGGATGTATAATATTTTTACTTGCGAGACAGCTCAATGATTCGGTACAGGAAATCAGACAAGTAATGAAGTATAGACCCTCAATTCTTCTGGTCCACCATATACATCTCACATTCACAGGGTAAATAGTTCTCTGAACCTCGAAAATTGAAGTTGACTCAAGAATGATTGGTTACCTCAAGGGAAAATCTGGAGGCAAACTATACAGAAATGTCCACATCATATTCATATTCCAAGCAGTATCGTAATGTACTAGATATATATAAATATATATATCGTTTCCTCCCATCCTTTTTCAGCCGCTAATAGTAAGTTCCATCGATCAACCACCATCTCACCGAGTTACCTTTTATCTGTCGTGACACCCACAACGACATTGCTCACCTGTCATTCAGAGTATTAGTAGTAGTCTCATACAGTTAGTTTGTTGCTGATAATAAAACAGAGAACATACGATTCTAATGAGGGTAAAGGGAAAGGAAGCGAATGAAAAGCATGAATACTTACCAATTTGCCACTTTCATCAACGGACATCGGGTTCTCAACTACAACTGTTTGGCTCTGAGACTGCAGAAAATGAAAATAGTGAACAATCTTAAATCAACTATGCCGCACAATCAAAATTACAAACCCACTCAATGGTCATTGCAGAGGCCTGAAAGGAGGGGCATGGAAAATGAAAAGATTGAGTGAGAACATACCGATGATGAAGGGGGCATCCCAGAGCTAAGTGTTCCATTACGCCTGTGCACTGGAATAGGAACCCTCACGTTGGACATCTGCAAAGAGACATCAATGAAGAAAACATGAAGAGCTGGTAGAAAAATATTAACACTTAGCATGTATAACAAGAGTACGTAAGCAGAAGTGTTTAACAGATCCAAACTTTACCACCTCGGGTTCATATGAAGTTTTTAGACTAAATGTCTTGGATACAAGTTTTTTAAGTTTTGAACATTTTGGTTCTTCCTTAATATTCCCCAACAACCCATGCAGAGAAAAAAGCGATTGTTTAGGAATGTAACAAGGATAGAACTGCCACAAAAGTGTACCACCTTAATTTTGACCACAAAATTTAGTTGTATCCTTTCAAGCTAGTCAAGTATAACTGAAGCCACATCGGGAATAGACTAAGTTGCTTTCCAAAATCAACATAAAGAATATTTATAAGTGATGAAGGAGGCAGACAGATGAATGCATGAGCTCATATAAAAAAGAGAGAATACTTCAAACCTATCACATTCACCGACACAGCTAACGTTAAGAATATCAAGAAGTTTCAGCTACCTATGAAAAGAAATGGATTATACTTACACCAACATTAGTAACATAGTGACAGATGGCACACTTGACAGATGGAGCTCCGTATGGAAAGACGAGTGTTGTTCGGCAGTTTCCACAGTTAACATGTGCAACCTGGTTCGTGGCTTTTTTAAAAAAAGAAAAAATGTCACAACACCCAAACATGATAACTCAGTAACCTAGCTAACTGCTATAACATAAGAAATTTTTTTTGAGTGTCTAATAATTAATAGCATGATACAGAAACCAGCATAAACAAGACTAGAATTGGCATAAATAAGATCCCACATCCAAATCGGGGAAAGCCAAAATTTTATTTCCCAAGCAAGACTAAAAGGCAAGATTACACCTTGAGGATTGCCTCAAGATAAGACTAACTTTTAGCCTCGAGACTTAATGTTTTTTTTTTTTTTTTAACCATAAGAACCTTACGCCCTTGTGAAATTGAAGCTTAGAGTCTCCATGCCTCATGTAGCGATTGAAAGAATAACGTTAGCTTGCCTCATTCTTACCCAAAAAAAAAACAAAAAAACAAAAAAAAAATCATTCATGACAATATAAACTAATACTACTATTGCTATCAAGACTTCAAAAGTATTGAAGACAAGATTTATATTATAAATCAATCTTATAAATGTTTTAGTTAACCAGCAATTTATAGAGGTGCTTTTTTTAAAAAAATTATCTTATATGATTATTATGTTTTGCAATACTTGGTCATACTAATTTAGAATTTGTTAAATGTTTTAGTTAAACTCAAGGCTTACGCCTCATACCACCTCGAGCCTTACGTCTAGCCTTTTTAAGAGGAAAAGCCTCGAGGCCGTCTTTAGGCTTTTAAGGCATTGCCTGGGAGAAACAAGTAACAACGAAACCATTTTTGTTCTCAAGCAAAGCAAATACCTACATCAAAAGATATAATGATTTTTTTCCCAGAAGCATAGAATAAACAAAAAGAAGTGTGAAGGAAGAAAAAAGAGAAATATGAGAATATGAAATAGAACCAAGAGAATTATAGCGGGAAAAACCAATAATTTAATCATTTGAATGCCCAAGTCTTACTATTAACCCTAGTCACTGAAAAAAAAAAAAAAAAAGCTCAAACAAATATAAGGAGCTCTGTCACATTCAAATATCCATATATCCTTCCCAAAACCAAAATCAACGATAAGTTTCTTCATACCAGGTGCAAGGTTCACTGTATGACAGCATGAGCATCTAACACTTGTTGCCCCACGTGCGTACATAAGCAATGTCCTGCAACCTCCACATATAAGTTGAGCCATATCTGTTCCTGCAAATGCAAGGCCCAAGTCTCTGATATAAGACCTCAGAAGTGTTACCACATGACAAATAGCTATGAACAGCTGGGGCATATATATTATATGAGAAGAGACACGTTTTAACACCTTTGCTATCAGACCTTAATGGTTAACTTTTAAGAAATAAAAATAAAATTAGAAACTAATAAAATAATATTCATCATGAAAAAGTAAGTCTAACGTCTAACTCAATTCATTTATACTGCCCAGTATCATATAATTTACATACTTATCAACTAAGTATAAAAAGATGGCTACTTTTTCAATGTGGTCGAAACTTCAACCAGCAAATTTTTAGAGATTTTTTCATGGAAGACCTAATTGAGATTTTTTAATACATTAAGGGTAAAATTGAGAATTTATATATTTATCCTAAAAACTTTAAACAAAGTACTCCGCGAAGAGGCTACAAACATGATAATCTTCCACTTGGAACCTTTTCACATGAACATATTCCATTATAGAAAGCCATAATTCTTCTGCATGAATCCACAAAACTTCAAACTTGCAAAGCAGCCTATATCACAACCCTATATTTCTTGGTGCCTAATGAAATGAAAATATTCTATCATAAAAAACACTCCTGGATGAACCCTCGATATTCCAATCTCATAAAGAAACTTATATCAGAATCCTCTATCAGAATCACAAGTGCAAAAAGGATTGTCTAAATTCTGAGACGACTTCCACATGAAATGCATCAAGAAGGGAATACCATTATGACCCACAATGCAAGGAGACGCTCTGGACATGTGTCCAACATGCTAAAATCTGTCTGTATTAAATATTTTCTTTTCTAATTTAGGGACATGGCCATGAAAGAAATTTAACCTGAAAAGTAGGAAAAGGAATAGATACTCTAATCCTTAGGATAACATCTTTTTCCTCTAGTCACAGCTTATTAAATCCTTCAATTTCTTTTAAGTTTTTAAATATCGTTAATTGGCTTTAACTTCGCATGCTCTTAGTGAAGTATATATATGAAAAGTATCCTTATCATTTGTATGCCTATTGTCCTTTTGCTAAAAATTATTGGCTCTTTACATTTGACGCTTTTGGTTGGTCTATGGTTATGCCTGGCATAATTTATGATATCCTCGCATCTATTTTTTTTGGGTCACCCTTTCCATGGTAATTAGAAGACTTTATGCCTTGCTATCAATAAGGCTTATGTGCTCATCACATGAAGAGTATCCTTATCATTTGTTTGCATACCGTCCTTTTGCCCAGTGTCATTGGCTCTTTATGTTTGACACTTGTGGTTGGTCTATGGTCATGCCGGGCACTTTGTAATACCCTTGCTTTTTTCTTTTGTGTGGGTCACACTTTCCATGGTGATTTATTTTATGCCTTGTTGTCAACTAGGCTATCTTCTGGAATATTCGGTATGAGTGGAATGGAAGAATTTCCAGGGATAGTTCCTTATCTTTGACTTTTTTGGACTTGATTTTATTTATGCTATTTACTAGTGTGAAAGTGTTATTGGCTCTTTATGTTTGACACTATTTGTTGGTCTATAGTCATGCCAAGTATGATTTATGATATCCATGCTTCNTTTTTTTTTTTCTTTTTTTTTTTTTTTTTTTTTTTTTTTTTTTTTTTTTTTTGTGGGTCACCCTTTCCATGGCGATTAGAAGATTATATACGGCTATTAATTGTGCTGTCTTCTGGAATCTTCGGTGAAAGTGGCATGGAAGAATTTCCAGGGATACTCCTTATCTTTTGAATCTTCTTTGGGCTTGATTTTATTTCATGCTTTTTGTTGGTGTAAATGTCAGCACCCTTCTAATGTTTACAGTCTTACTTCTTTAATTTTGAATTTGAAACTTTCTTGTACATCTATTAACTCCCTTTATTTCATTCATTAATGAAATTTGTTTCTCTTTGTAAAAAATAAGAACTCAGTTTCTCACCCAAAAGAAATGTAGTCAGTTTTGTATGCCACTTAAAATGTCTACTATTTTGAATATTTTTTGTCTCCAAGCCATATTTGAATTAGGAAATGAGGTCACTTCCGTGACCATCATCCCTCCAGCCTAAATTATATAGTTTGTCAGGTAGATTATAAATAACTCAGCACATTGCATTTGTTACCATAATTTCCTCAAAACTTTTAACGACCAAAAAGGGAAAAGAAGCAATACGAAAAATTGTATACCAGGAGGGGGAACTGAGGTGACTGTACTGCATAATGCACAGCATACGTTAGTAGCCCCTCCAGGATAAAGAAGAATGCTCCTACACCCACTGCATACAAGTTGGCTCTGCATAGCTGCTACAGCAAGTGGTGAGAGAAAATCAAGAGCTTGTCAAGAGTGGACTTCAGCATCATAAGCTATGTGCAAGATTGAAAAAATAACCGATATGAAATTAACTTCCCTCTATGCACAATAATTTCACACGAAGCATACATTTTCCTTCAACAAGATTCAATATCAAACAACAATTCAAAGAAGTCCACAGATGATTTATAAGGATAAAAAAATTCATCAGGAAAAACACCCCCCTCTTCTGCTGTGGTTACACAGAAATTAGGTTCTAAAACTGAAGCCAAAAAATAAACGTAACTACTGAAATGGTAACCAGGAAGCAAAGGAATAAAAGTAGATCAACCTTACAAATGATTTCTTTAGAATAAAAACGATATAGAAGCCCTCTCGAGGACAATTAAGGTTACCAGAGTTTGTCTTGGCTTCCTTTTACCGGAAAGATTTCATTATTTATTTCCTCTTTCAACATTAGTTAATTCACGGATGCAATCGTAACCAGGGAGTTAATTCACGAAAGAATTCAACAATGAGAAGATCTTGTTCTCAGCCCTCTTTCTACAGCTTTATTTGATCGATAACTAAACCTCTTATCGGGGGGAAATCCAGGGAAACCGCTTCATTGTTTTGTATGCATATACATAACATTGCAAAATTCAAGGACAGCTTGCAATTGGGAAATATACACTAAAAAAGATGCATGCTCGAGCAAAAGATCTCTCAAGATCGATGAAAATTATGAGGGAAGCATAAAACCTAATAACTCAAGTCTCTAAAAGAAAACAGAACAAACAGAGGAACAAAAAATTGAAGGAAAAAGAAAGCCAAATACAGAAGTAAACACCTTTTCTCCCGATCCTCCCTGCGACGACCGATTACCTACAAAAACGATCACGTAGAAGCCCCAAGAAGGAAGTCTGTCAAGCATTCGAAAATCCAAATGTCCCAATCGTAAAAAATCTCATCAAACGAAAGAAACAAAAAAAAAAAAAAAAAAAAAAAAAAAAAGAAAGAAAGAAAGAAATACACAAATTACAATTACACACAGGGAGAGAAAGGGAGGTAAGAAACCTGAAAATGGTGGACGAGAAAGGAAGAAAGGATTAGTTACGAAGAAGATGATCGCGGAGGTGTAGCTATGAAGGAGGCCGTATTAAGCGGATGAGGGTGGAAGCGAGAACTGCGGTTGAAAATCGAAATGCCAGAGAATGGGACAGAAAAGGAAGACGGTAAGATTGAAGAAACGAAATAAGAATATTTTCTTTTTTCCGAAAAAAATTAAAAAGAAATCGAAAATGGGAGAAGAATGAGCAACTTCCGAGATTTTTACTTTATGTAAATTTAGTGAATATTTTAATCCACGAGCGCGTCCATCGTGACAGACAACGAAATAAACAGAATAATAAAATCCATTCCCAAGGATATTCTCGTAATTTCCAACTTCTCTTCAATATTGCAAACATTTGTTTTTGTGTTTAAATTATACACACAACTATTTTCCATTATTAGAAATACAAAATTATTTTTAAATGTGACAAAATTATTTTATATAATCGATGAAGCCTCCTGGTCTGCTGATGTATTTGACGGATGCTGTTCTAAAACTTTCCTCTCCATTATAATTCTAATTAATCATGCTTCCAAGTCCCACACAACAAATATACATTGACTAGTTAATGTTAACAAAGGGAAATATGATCCATGTAAATTTGCTACCAACAACAATATTATTTTGACTTTACATGTAAATAGAACTTATGTATTTGAAATTCCCGTGGCTTTGTGGAATTCGATCTTAATTCAATTACGTCGAAGAGAGGCCAACCTCTTTTCAAGGTCCTCAACATCTGGAGATTCAGAGCTGCGCGTAAATTAAAATTTATCATTAGTTCAATGAAAGCTAGCAAGTGCATAAAGGGCTAAATTATATGAAGAATCAATTCGAGTCTAGGTCACTCAATCGAGATGCAAACTATCATTAGTTCAAGCTAAATTATTATTAGCTCAATAAAATCTAGCACGTGCTTATAGGCATACTATCTCTTTAGGAAGAATCAATTTGAGTCTAGTTCAGTGAAAATTATCATCTTAAACGTTCATAGTCCGATATTAAAAAATCCGATATTAAAAAAGAGGAAGAAGAGGCTGTTATTTTGACCATTATCAAACTTATCTTTGTTTCAGAACACTCTAGATGATTATTTTCTTTATATATTGACCATTATGCCCTGAGGTTCATCATCTCACAGATTTCCACGCCCATTAGTCACCTTTTGGAATGTTCCCAAAAGAAATATCCCCAAAAAGGAGCTTGATTAAAGTTTTAATAGATCTTCTTTGTGTACAGTTTTTGTCCAAAAGAGATGAAGATACCTAAAAAGGCTTGTCGGTATTCGGCATTGTAGCACAGTGAAAGTAAAGTTTCCCATTGTATGCACTCAATCAGAGTACAATATAGACTGCGACCGATATGTATCTATCTATACGTGTGTTATGTTATAAAATGTATGAAACCGAGAAAGAAAAATCCCAATAATAATAATGCATAGGGTACCTGGTAACTGTATTTTCAGTCTTCCTTGCTGCAATCCGGCCTTTGGGTGCAGAAGACAACTGTCAACAGGAAAAACCAATGTCAGAGAGCAATAAATGTTTCCAAGTGAAGAAAAAAAAAGGTAAAAACATATTTGAGATCCAAGCGAAGTGTTCATTTTCAAGAGACCAACCTGGGATGCAATATCAACGCCAATCTCATCAAGCACCTGTGAAGAAAACAGCAAAAAACAAATGTCTAGTTAGTAAAATCCTTCAATCAAAGGTACAGGGTATGCAACCTTAGATATGTGGAAAGAACTTGCCTGATTCGTAAGCTCCTCAGTTTCCTCTTCAGCCTCATCCTTATCTAAAGTTTCATCTATAGACTCTGACATCATTTCAATCTGGAGAAAAGAAGTATGAAAACATAATGCACGACTGGAAAAAGAAAGAGAAAAATCTACTAGCTCGAGGCCACAATAATAGTTGGGTTTTTTGCATACAACGCCAGGAATATGGCTCGACTTTTGTGATGGACGAGATTAAGTTAATACAAGGGCAAGGCCTTTTTTATTTCCCCTCTATCACCCCCAATCTGGTGAAATATTTTTCTTCCCTCCCATATTTTTTTTTCCTGATTTCTCTTTTGTCCTCACAAAGAATGCATATTACGGTACAAAAAGCTGTTAACAATGATATCCTCAGATGATGTAATCAAAACAATAGTACAATGAATATACACCAGACAGAGCTACCCATAAGTGGAAAGCAGAATTAATATCTCTTTTCTTGCATTTCAGACATATCCATTAAAACAAAAGATTTCATTTGGTCATTGGTGTAATAATTCAACTCATTCTCCCTTCCCCCCATCGAAACTATGTTGTATTCAATAAGAAAAAGAAATAGTGAAACTGGGAATATTACCGTCGTGTCCAACTGTGCCGACTGCTTCTGAAACTCCTTAATCACTTTAGCCTGCTTTGCTGGTGCCATTTGCTGCAATGGAAAACAAAGATGATAAAATTGATCGTTTGGTTGCAATGTAAAGAAAGTAGCCTATATGTAAATTTTTGGGAAAAAAAAGTCCTTTAATTTTACACTCACAACAAATTTCAGTCTATTATGTCAACCAAAATGATGCTCCAATCAAACACTTTCAATCAAGTAACTGCTAGTTCTCTACCAGTGTGTCTCATTCTTCCTTTAAAATAGAAGAATCATAATAAAATTAAGGCTATCATATTCTCTTTCGTGTGCTTACCTTGTTCATTGCAACCATTGCTTTTGTTGCACCCTTCATTCCAGTAGAGATTGAAGTACTAGCATATAGTGCCTGGGAAAAGACATCATCAGTCGATTATTTCCCTAAACTGAAACCGATGGTCAACATGTTTTCACGGTAAGGATGGTGACCTGTGTATGAGTAGCTACACCTCGAATTTGGGCACGACTTCCTTGCAAATTAGTTATTTGTTGGCGTAGGCGAACAAGCTGTCGAGCAAGGATTCTAGTGGCAGCCTGTATGATGAATTAAAAGGAAATATGAAAATAAATTTTACTCGTGCCAAAATAATAGGATGATAATACAAGTGACAAAAAATTTATATTCGTGCGTCCCCAAGATGATTATCAACAGTAAACCACAATCTAAATTAAATTTATTTCCGAATAAATGGCATCTTCGGATTCTAAATTCCTTTTCTGCCGCCAAAACATTTATTGGCTTCTTTAATGCACAATTTCACTAGGTTCAGTTTGCATGGAATTTCAGTCGAGGGAAAATATGTGAGTGGCTCAACTGCATGGAAGACAAAATATCAAACCAACCAGTAATCATGAAGGTACAGAAAACATTAGTCACATACAAAGCCCAGGAAACACTAGTTTGAAGTTTTAGAATCATGAATAACTAATGGAACAATCCATAAATAAGATTAACATGTTTGAGCAGTTGTGGAAGGGATTAAGTACTAGATATAACGCTACCTATCACCAATAGATCTAATAAAGTTAACTTACCTCATTCCCAGTTTTAGCTGTCTGCTTTATCTCCGCGACCAATTTTTTTTCCTGAAATTAGAAAGAGTAGGAAATCTAAGAGAAGAGAAAAGGCAAAGGTGGTAGTAGAAATTAAAACCAAAAGGGAGTTCACATGATACCTCCAACTGAAGAGATGCAATTTCACGCTCAATGCCTGAGAATTGATAAACATATAAGCCACAAACGTATCAAATTGTATATAAATGTAGATTGAAGGACGGAGTTTGATAAATAATGAATGTACTGATTGAAGATTCTACAGCATGAGCGAATAAAATTTCAGATCTGCATCGTACTGATGAAGTAGGAATAAAAGTAGAGGAAAGCACGAGTTAAGGACAGGGAATCCTGGTCCTCTTTGGATTTTTTTCTTTCGGGTTTTCCTTCAAAGTATTTAAAACACTTCATCAAGCGGAGGTTTCCACGTCCTTATATAAGGACAGGGAATCCTGGCCCTTAACTCACAGGCTTTTTACTTGCAAACCTTAGTCCACAAATGCCACAATTACCAATGCCACGTATGTGCAGTTGCATGCATTTAAAGTATGGGTAGGCACAGTTGAATAAACGGTTATTTTAATTTCATTCGGTAGCTTATTTTGGTAAAGCTCACTCCTATACAATGAGAATAAGGTAGGAAAGAAAAGGGAACGACATAGTAGTTTCAAATTAAGTGACAAGATGCCAAAATTAATAAATAGAGTGAGGAGATGAACGAAAGGGAGTAATGCTCCCCCATTAGTAGCTTTAGGTGTTGCCAATTAGTCTGAAAGCTGATGGCATCCGGATGAAAAAGAGAATTAGTGTATTAGAAAAGGGGATTTCCCGTTGCTAACAACAACTGGGGACTGGGGAATTTGCCTGGAAAGTCAAATGCTTTAGGGCTTCAGTACTAATGCGTAATTCAGGATTGTGCATTCATTAGGGTCATTAAATACATTCCTGCATCTCCCTTCCAGTGCAAAAGAAACAAAACATAACTTTTGATAGAAAAAAACAAACAGAAAGTTTTGTCTAGGTTTTGAAGTCCCTCAAGTGGCACAATAATTCCAAATGATTTGGACCATACCCGGGGGATACACCAAGAGATTTAGAAACAAATTGTGAAGTAGAAGAATTGTAGTACCTCTAGTTGCAACAGCCATTTCTCGCTTGCTGGTGCGAAGAGCATCTGTAATAAAAGCACAATGTCATCATTCATGTCTAATGAATCCGCAATGGATTTCTGCATTAACCGCACCCCAGGCAACTAAAGTTCCCCTAGTAGCAGAAGTAAGTATCATCTCAAACAATAAGAGGAATCCCATTTTAACTCATTCTAATTGCTTCGAGCAAAGCCCCTACCACTGTACGGGAAATTTAAATCGCGTCTTTAATCGAACACAGAATATTAGCCCTAAGATCTGTGTGAAAAACGCCGATCACCTTCAAAATTTACCCCGTAATCGTACAAACTAGGGAAATGCACGTAAAAAACCAGTGAAATGATAAAGAAAAAAGGAGAATCAGAGGCTAGAATCAACAAAACAATCGTAATGTTGGAAGCAAAGAAGGAGCAGATCGGAAGAGATAGAGAAATTTATCAGACCTTTGGGGGAGGTTTTCTTCCTGAAGATGTTCATGTTCATCGTTGGTTCTCCCCTGACCTAGCAGACTGCAGAAGCAGAGTGGGAATAAACGTAGCGATTGCAGTCGTCGACAATGTTTACAATTCCAAAGCGAATTTGAGGATTTGGAAGCCAAGTAGTGAAGCTCACACTGTGATGCCTGGAAGAGCGTGCACGAACTTTTTTTCTCGCTTTCACATTCTATATGAAACAGACGGCGGTGATCAAAGTAGCCGTTACGAATTCGCACTGCCTAAACTACCCTTGCTGAAGTTTTATATTTACCTTGCATTTTATAAAATATAAATTTTAGTATTTTTAATATTCCTCTTCTCTGAACGGCACAATCTCATACCAGATTCCAAAGGGGTAGAAATGAAAATTCAACNTATCTGTGCAACATTATTTTATATCATTTGGAACATCTAATTACAATGAAATAGGGCAATCTTCAAGGATGTAGAAGGATCTTGGTAAGCGGTCGATGTGCTAGATGGTTATGAAAGACTTATACTTGTTAAGAATTTATGAAAGACTTTAGGAAGGATTTATGCATGTAAAGAAATGTTTATGAACCATACAAATGAGGGCGTACTTGCTAAGAATTCTTCCTCAGTTGTGCCTCATGACTTAACAAAGAACTCTCAGAACGAAAGCTTGAGTTATTTCGAGATTAAAGTACTTTCGATGAAAGTTTTTTTTAGAGGCATATAATGTAACAACGGAAAAATAAATAAAATAATAGTAATAATAATAATAATAAATAAATAAATAATAAAAATTATTATAAATAAAAAAAAAAAAAAAAAAAAAAGGGTTTATTTTGCTTATTTTAAAATTTTAGGCAAATGTTCGTTTTGAAGTTAGATGCCTCGGCCCAAAAGCGAAACCTCTTCGGAAAAATGGGCCTCTTCATCGGCCCATTGAATGGCCCAACAAATAACCCAAGCCCACATAACTTCAAAATACCACATTTCATCCCCAATAGAAGGCTCTATCTGCTGCCAGCAAGGTTAAAAATTATATTTGTTTGATTTTCAAATTTTTCCCTGTATTTTCTAACAAAATATTAAAAAAATTCAACCAAATTCCAACAAAAATGAATAAATAAATACTATTTTTTAGTTTCCAAAATCAAGAAATGCCTTAAGAAACGAAAATATCAGTTATTTTTTCTATTATATTATTGGAGAGTAAAATATGTGACTCGTATAAAGGTACAAATGAATAGTTGCTTATATTTCACGCATCATTATTGGACAGGTAGGTACTCAATCCATAAAACCAAATTATTTGAAATATTTTTATTTATTATTAGTCTAACATAGTTGAAATTTGAACTTGGGTTGTTATTGTTATTAAGATTGTGTAGTTACAGTGTCTTAATCTAATCAATAAATATAAATATAGAGGAATAGGTATAAGATAGGTAGTCATAACATAAATAGTGATACAATTACAATAAAAGTATATTATATATGGATTAAAATGAACTTAAAAGAAGAAGGAAAAAGAAAAAAAAAAAAAAAAAAGGACAAAGAAAGAAGAAAACAGAGCCATTGTATTGTACACAAATGACAAAAATATGCCGAAAAAATGAAAGAAAGAAGAAAAGTCAGAGTTTGAGCGGTCAAAAGGAGTCCATCTGAGACAACCGTGTGGGTTCGTGTACCCAACGTGCAATTCGTGCCATTTTTTATTTCTTATCATTTTGCCCTCCAAATTGTGTCGGCCAACCTATTTGTCGTTTTCCCCAAACCCCCAAACCCCCTTCCCATTTCATCCTCTCAATTTTAAAATATATAATTAAATCTCTCTTTGTTATGATCACATATAAAGAGACATTTTTTTAAAAATTATGGGTATTTTCTTTAAAATATATTATAAATGGTTTATTACAAAATTAAAAAGAGAAAGTTGTAATTTAACTTATTTTATTTGTCCCTTTCCCTTCTATCCTGTATTCTCATCTTTCTCATCCTCTTCCTTTGTGATTGAATTAACTTAATCAATCCAAAATATATATATATATTATTAAACCCTGAATTTAATAAACAAAAACTTGGCTTCAAAGAATATAGAGATACCAGCACACAAATTATAGTATTTGGGCATCATCATCGTATTCATTATTACTAATCATTAGTTATTAATTATTAATTAAGTTTACCCAAACTAATTTCCTTCCCCTACACATTAAGAAACCCTTTTCATTTTTGATCTTATAATATGAACCCTTCCCTTTGCAGACAGAAACAAAAGAAAACAATGATAATCCTTCCCATCTAGTTAGCTTCTAATTGGGGACAACAATTTTGTTAATCCACTCATGTCCAATCACTCACTCCATCCTATTAGTAAGATGAACGTGAATTAGAANAAAAAAAAAAAAAAAAAAAAAAAAAAAAAAAAAAAAAAAAAAAAAAGAAGAATTTAAGTAATGAGGAGAGAGTGGGGGAGGCAACAAAGCGTGATGACAATGTTGAAATACAAACAAAACTTTAATGCCAATTCTTTATAAAAGGAGAGCTTTAATTAGCTACCTACCACCTCACTTCCCCTTCGCTTTCTATATATATATATATATAGCGGTGTCCCTACCACCTCCATGGGTGACACAATCACCCCCTTGGGATTTCATTGTCCCTTTCAATTTCATTTTTTATTATATATATATTAATTTAGTTTCATCCCCCATTCTCCCGACTCTCTCCAGATCTACCACTTTCCACTCCCTTCTATTATAAATATTTCAATCTTCAAATCTATCCGTACAAGATAATTACTGTCACGCCCTTCTTACATATAATATTACATTCAATGACATTACTATTATTTGCTCCATTTCAACCAAGATTCAAACCCCAACATTGACTTCACTCAAATAATGGCCCAGGATTTTATTGTCTTTCTCAACAAAAGAAAATATTAACAATCCTATAAAATAAAATTTTAAAAAATGGCGCAACTGTCGGTGGAGTGTATGAATACGATTGGCCAGATTTTTATTTTTCGAAAATTATGAAATATTAAACATGATTGACGAGGTTTTCGGTTATGGCTCATAAAGAAAGTCGTAATAATAATTATTTTGGTTTTTGGGACCCTTTTTTGTCATTTGACCTTTCCCATTTTTCTCTCTCTCTCTAAAATCTTAAATATCTTTTTGGTATCTGCCTTACCCGATATCAATATCAATACCAATATCAATATATATGGTAGGGCTAATATGTACACAGCGGGTCCAATCCGATCTAAACTCTCGAAGGATCCGATAGTGTGGACTCAACTTGCATTTGTGTCAAAACTATAGGATACTCTTAGTTGGAGTCACTTTTAGAACACCGCGTCGCCCACCTTGAATTTCAAGCACCGATGTCTTACATCTGCATAATTTTTTTATCTACTCTGAGCAGTGTGCATTATCATCTCGATCTTTTGCATTGCCTCATTGGTAACTTAAACTAATTCGGGACCCACCAATTTTCGTTACCCTCCTTCGTCCCAACACAGTGGAACCTTGCACGATTTGCATACAAAGCCTCATATAGTATCATGCTAATAGTTGCTTGAAAGCCGTGGGAATTATTATATATAGGTGTTCGGAGACAATTGTTAAATTGATAGAAAAAATCCCAAAATTATAAGCATGTTGGATAATAATAATAATAATAATAATAATTAATGATCGCGATTCTGGGTTTGCGAAACAAATACTTGGGCATGCACCACTTTGTTGATGATAATAATAATAATAAAATATTATGTAATAATGGAAACGGTTACTATCCTAAGTTGTAGAGCAGTAACCGCCCAAATCTTTTCTTCTTTTTTTTCTCATTTTTTAAAATAACTAAAACAATATTGTTGTATAGAATTAAATGAGAATAAATATAGAATAGAAATGTTAAATAATTGAGAAAAAAAGAAAGAAAGAAAAAAGAAAGAAGATATTTTATGTTGATTGAAAAAAGGGAGAGGGCGTAAGGGAAATTAATGAAAATGGAAGTTTCAACAAACACACTTAAAGAACATTGTTGCTGATAGGCCCGCCAAAGTACAGATTTATCCCTATCAAAATTAAATGAAAGTACCCGAGGGTTAAAATAAAATATCCACTTTTTTTTTTTTTTTTTTAATTTGTATTTATAAATAATATTCCAGTACACCGCCAAGAAATATAAATAATAATAATAATAATAATAATAATAAAAAAGAGTAGAGTGTTATAGGGGTGTTTTTGTAACACAGCTCAGGCATTAGGTACATGTCGTCGGGTACGGGCTGTGTACAACTGTGAGTGAAAGTGTCAACTCAACACTCCATTTTTATTTTTATTTTTGTTTATAATTATTTTATCCCTTGTTTGACTGTGTCAGGTGCATTGTGAAAATTGAATGAATTACCAATTAAAAAAAAGTAGAAATTTAGGGTAAAAAAAGAAAGAGATATTTAAAGAAATGGAAATGGAAATGGAATAGGTAGCATTCAAACCCCATATTTGATTATTTGATTTTTGTTATTTGATTTTTGTTATTTGATTTGGTCATATCCCTTTTTTGACGGTGCAACTACCAAACTCAGCCGCATCAATTCACACAAATATTAATGCGTGGCCTTATTTACATTTATTTGAATTTGAATGCTTAACTATTTAAATTTTATTTAAATTTTGTGTTGACGTTGGCGGTAAAAGAAAAGGAAAAAAGTAAAAAAGTAAAAAAGAAAAAAGAAAAAAAAAAAGAAGAAAAAAAAAATGTGTGGGCTTTATTTTGGAACAAATTTGGAGGGCTGCTTTTGGGGTTTGGTTTGGTTTGGTTTGGTTTGGTTTGGTTTGAAGAGAAGGGAGGGCTTGCACCTTCTTCTAATTATAAAAATATTAAATAATTAATAAATAATATCACCAGTAGTGTCCCATAAATAATAAATGTACGTGCCCCCACCCTCCTAACAGACAATATGAAATTTAATTTATTTATTTATTTATTTATTTAAATCGGTAAAAAATATATATTTAATTAATTGTCTACCAAATTCAAGGAATGTTCCTCCGTTGTTATAATATTTTAAATAAAAAAGAAATAAGGGGAGGGTAGATTAAATAAAACACACCAAGTCAGTGCCGCACGTACGTAACGCTTTCACTCTCTTTGCTATATAAACTCCCCCGCCACTTCCTTCTTCTTCATCTCTTTCCCTTCAATCCATCTTTCTCAATTCTCTCTCAACTCTTCCTTAATTCCCACTTCCATTCACTTCTAATTTAATAACCTTAACTCTTTCTTCTGCTTCCATGGCTGCTCTCACCTCCTCCCCTCACCTTAACGATATCGACTCGGTTACCTTCGATGTTGACAAGCTTACTTTTGAGATCTTCTCCATTTTGGAAAATAAGTTTCTATTTGGCTGCGATGATTCCAATTCCAAGCTGCATCTTCCCACTCAGCTCCCCGTCGATGCTAATGCCTTCAAATCTGGAATGCAGACCTCAGGGAAGGTAAGGATTCTGAGTATTGATGGTGGAGGCTCCACCGATGGAATTCTTGCCGCTAAATCACTTTCGCATCTTGAGGATTTTCTCCGTCGGAAGTCGGGAAAGCCTGATGCGCGCATTGCTGACTATTTCGACGTGGTTGCTGGTTCTGGAGCGGGAGGCATTCTCGCCGCCTTGCTCTTCACGAGGGGGAAAGACGGTTGTCCTCTGTTTACGGCGGATGGAGCTTTGAATTTTCTAATTAAGAACCGTCGCGATATTTTCCGGTCATCGGATGGAGGAATTTTCCGACGTGTGTTTCGGCCGACGAAGGTGGAGAAGTTGTTTCGTAAGACGTTTGGAGAGTGCACGTTGAAGGACACGTTGAAGTCGGTTTTGATTCCGTGCTATGATCTCTCCACGCGAGCACCATTCCTGTTTTCTCGCGCCGACGCTCATGAAATGGACGGTTACGATTTCAAGATTCGCGACGTTTGTGTTGCGACGTCTGCAGAACCGACAGTCTCCGGAGCAGTCGAAATGTGGTCCATCGACAAGCGAACGAAAATCACCGCCGTCGACGGCGGCATAGCGATGAACAACCCGACGGCCTCCGCTATTACTCACGTGTTGAACAATAAACAAGAATTTCCTTTCTGCAACACCGTCGAAGATCTCCTCGTCGTATCTCTCGGAAACGGAGAGTCAGATTTCGGCGCCATTAACCTTAATTCATCGCCGGCCTCGTTCACAAGGATCGCCGGAGAAGGCACTTCCGACGTGGTAAATTTCCTAATCTTGCACTTTCAATCCAAACTAACCTTTATTCAAAATTTTAGTATTCAATTGATATGGATAGATTTGTCGGTAGAGGCAGAGGAGTTAAGAGATTCGGCATTTAATTTAGGGCATAACACATTTAAGAAGGCCGTATTTGGACAGCTTTATTGCAGGACAAATCAATGAGCTTCCTCCAACCTTTCATTTTCTATATTCATAATTACAGTAACCTTATTTTATGTCTAAGTAGAATTTGGAAATAAGAAATTTGGCAACCAACCAGAGAATCTTAATTTGTTGGCACAGAACACGTAGGGAGAGTGGGAAAGTGATAGATAGGGATGGGAGAAGGGGGCACGAGAAAGAAATGGGGCTAATTCATTTAATTGGTTGGTGACCTAATTATTGTGTGCTGTTATTCTATAGGTTGATCAAGCTGTTTGTATGGCCTTTGGTCCGCACAGGGCAACCAATTATATCCGCATTCAGGTATTCCACTCAAATTCCTTCACATTCCCCCTTTTCTTTTTGAAAAAAAAAAACTTCATCCATCTAACAACACTCGGGAATTTGTGTTATGCTCTCAGGGGAATGGGATTATAGGAAAGAGCAAGTATGGTGGGGTTTTGGAGAAGGCCAAAAGAGGCCAAAAGAGCATTGACATACTGGAAAAAGCAGATGAAATGCTAACCCAGAAGAACATAGAGGCTGTTTTATTCAAAGGAAAGAAGATGATTGAGAACACAAATTTGGAGAAATTGGAGGCTTTTGCAGGAGAGGTGATCAAAGAACAAGAGAGGCGAAAAACCAGCGTCCTCCCCACTGTATTATTGAAGCAGGCATTCCCATCTCCAAGGACATCCTCTGCTTCAGCCACCACACTCTCCACCATTTCATCCTGCTAATCATATTTCACCCAAACCCAACACTCTTAGTTTGGAGGTTAGTTTAATTTCTATAATTAAGAACCCAAGAAGAAGAAGAAGAAGGAAAAAAAAACATTATCAATTTGTGTATTATGCTGCTGCTTATTTTGCTGCCGCTCGCGATGAAATGGGAACGTCCGAGTCTGAGCTGAGCTGCTTTTTTTTTTTTTTTTTTTTTTTTT